AATTTTCTTTCTCAAGTTTTGGACTATTATGTTTTTAAATAACTTGGAAGGCAAAGGAGGGCAAGCACAAGCGTTAACCCTAAGAAATGCGCGCGAAGCGCGCGAAATTTTATTTTTTTTTTTAAATTCTAATTTCGTCGGAATTGATCAAAACTCCCTAAATGTGCAATTTTTAGAGGAAATTGGCCTACCTCAACAAGAAATGCTCTTATGTTATATATGGCCACACTGGTTTTTTTTAAACTAAATATAAGCATTTTCCTTATGGCTTTATTTATTACAAACATATTCTTTCAACATCATTACACATTGAGGCCCTTCTTTTAGGTAAAACGATCTATCTCAAATTTTCTTTCTTGAGTTTGGGACTATGTGTTGTAACTTATAAGGCAAAGGAGAGCAAGCAGAAGCTTTAACATCAAAATATGCGCGCGAAGCTCGCGAAAATTTTTTGTTTTTTTTTAAATTCTAATTTCGTCGGAATTGATCAAAACTCCCTAAAATGTGCAATTTTTTAGAGGAAATTGGCCTACCTCAACAAAATATGCGATTTAAAATTTGAGATTTTCATGCACTTTCCCGGGTGAAAAGGGCATTCAATGGGGAAAGATTTTCCACCGAAGGATATTTTCCCATTGTCCCCCGGTGGTTACGCCACTGCGGAGAATACTTGGCGGCTTAGATCAAATGCGATATGGACACTTTTTGAAGTGGAGAAGGGGTTGCAGGCCGGGGTATTGTGATATCTGTTCATTATATCTTCCTTTTTATTCTTGTCTTTATTTTTCTCTTTTTCTTTTCCTTTCTTTTTCTTTTCCCTTCTTTCTCTTTCCCTCCCTCTCCCCTCTTTCTTTTCTCTTCTTACCCAGCCCGGTACGACGGCTTGGTCAGCCCGGTAAAAAAATTTTGATTCCTAGAAGGCGGGAAATGAGCTTTCCCGACTTCTGAGTTGTCTTTTAAATTAAAGTCATTAAAAAATACTTCAGAAGTCGGGAAATCTCATTGTCCACCATTTAGAAATCAACATTTTCCCAGGAAGAACTCGAACCTCCCTTTATCTGGGTTCATTGATTCATTATAAAATTTTCAAGAGGGGAACACAAGGTTTTCCACTCTTGAAAACGGTCAGATACTTTTTTCCCATTGTTATTACAGTAATTAGGCCTTATGTGTGTATACATACACAAAAAAGATTGAATAAGTTGCATACGTAGTTTTTCCATGAATCGATAAATCCCAAAAAGAAAGG